AAAGGAAAGAAAACCTTGCTGCTAAGTGAAAAGACATTAAATAAAAAATATTTTCCTTAATTTTAATGAAAAATGACATGTTTTCTCTCAATCCAAGATGAATAATTTTCACAGATAGAAAAATAAACAATGAAAAAATTTTTAGGAGACAGGTGTAAAAGTAAGTACGTTTTGCTGGTCCATAAAGTGCACGTGATGATTATTGTCCCCTGGAAGGAGGAGGGCCTGGCGCGTGCAGGTGGATGACCAGGAGTGCCCTGTGTGGCACCTCCCATACCCACTGTGTTCTTCGCTGGCACCTCGCTCCTTGGGGAGGCGCAGGGCTGTCTGGCACTCAGACTGCGCTTAAAATTAAGTCACAGCTCAGAGATCCCCCTCGGGACTAATCACGGGCTACAAAAAGTCTTACTCTGGAACGCATGAAAGTTAAGCGTATCTGAGTAAACGCTGCCTGTGGCCACCTGCTCAATGTGTTTGTGCAAAGAACACCTTTTGTTTCTTCCCAAACTGATGAGTGGAGAGAATTCGTGAGTAAGTCTTAGTCCAAGATCATAATGTCAGGAACCCTTTTTGTAGCAGTTGGAGGCGTTTTGGACGAAACATTTCATAGACTGAATCATAACTTGTGTGAGTTGTGGCATGGCCTCGGGTGACCAGGCGACATGGCGGCAGCGTGGGTGCAGCAGGTCTTTGTTTGGGGGCTGGGCCAGAGTGTGCTTCCTGGCTCGGCCGCACTGCAGCTCTGCCCTGTCCCACAGATACCTCCTCTGGCTCGGACGACGAGGGCTCAGTGCAGGGAGACTCGCAGGGGACGCCCACCTCCAGCCAGGGCAGCATCAACATGGAGCACTGGATTAGCCAAGCCATCCACGGCTCCACCACGTCTACCACATCATCCTCGTCCACCCAGAGCGGGGGCAGCGGCACTGCCCACCGGCTGGCGGATGTCATGGCCCAGACGCACATAGGTGAGTGCTCCCACCTGCTCTGTGCCCTGTCTTGCCCTTGGTCACCCTCCCAGGTGTCCTCCCGCTGGAGCCGCAGTCTCTGCTCGGGAAGGGACTCGTCTGCTCCACAGGGACGCTGGTGGCCGTGTCTGTTCTCGTGCTTCCTGCTCACACTAAAGTATGCACCTAGGTGGGCCTTGACTGTGACTTTGCTTTGACCTTGGAAATCACCTTGTATGGAGGTTCTATGACAAGTGACATCTTCTGTGTTGGAAAAAGCACAGTTAGGAAGCATTGCCTGAACTGGCTGGTGATAGTGTGGAAAGGAGATTAGGTAAGAACTACGAGAGGAGTGAGCGGGAAGACTCCTCAGGCGGGTCAGCGGGGTACACGCTTTCCTGCATCCATGTGTGCTGGTCACTCATTTTTCCATGGAAACGAGGCCTTGTCTGGTGTGGAAGGGACATGTACGCAGGCTGGATCGGTTCATTACAGTAGTGTCAGGAATGAGACCAGGCGTGCGGGGGCAGGACGCAGGGTCTGGTCTCGGTGCTCATGTGAACGCTGCATCTTCCGAAGTCGCTGCTTACTGGAGTTCTTTCTTTCCTTTGTCCCTCAGAACTGTTGTCAGTAAAAGGAGAAAATAGGAAAGTTCCTCCAAATTTTTAAAAGTAACACTCAGATGCAAAGTAGTGTTAAGTTTCAGTGTAACATGTTTTTAGCAACATGTATGCTGGTGAACGTGCCCTGAGAACCTCCATTTGAAATCACAGTAAGTTAAAAATTAAATGGAAATGTGTGACCGTTAAGTATTTCTAGGTGGCAAAGTGTCTTCCTGTGTGATTTGGAGCCTGAGCCAGTGGCCGTGGTCCGGCACCCACACAGGGCTCTGGCATGGGGTTGTTCTTTCACGTGCGCCACTCACCCAGCCCTGGAAACGTGTGTGATTGTGACTGAGTCCCCTCCAAGCGAATGCCAGAGTGTAACAAAGAAAACACATCATTTGAGCACATGAATCACTGCATTTGTTTCTCGCTATGTGAATTTGCACGTGGAGTGCCAGAGGGAACGAAGGCATGGAGGGTTAAATTCATCCAGACCATAAAAGGGTGCGTGACTCATGTACATGGGTCTCAGTGTAGCCTAAATATAGCTCCTGAGTGTGTGACACTTCAGCGATTTCTATTTTGGCACAAAGATAAGTTCCTAGACTATCTGGGGATTTTCTGTAAATATGAGAAAATATGGTTTTGAAGGAAAGCCGTGGCAAAATAATAAAATGAGAATTAAAATCCCTTGTTCCTATGACAAAGCAAAGGAAGTAAAAGTCAGAATTGGCAATATTTGACCTGCTATTGAGCTTGAGAACCTAAAAATAAAGTGTGTGTGCGCGCGCGTGGGCGCCTTTTAAGGAAGTTAGGGCAAAATGAACCGTCAGCTTGTGCTTCTAACATTGAGGGCAGGTGTTAGTGACATGCAGACTGTCTTTTGCCCCCCGGGGGAGGAGAACAGGAGGCTAAAGACGTCGTGTTGGAGCAAAGCCCCAGGCCCTAGTGGGCTCTCATCATGACGCACACGCTTGTCCCCATGTCAAGCAGGTTTCATGTGCAGTCATCCTGCTCCCACAGCTCTGTCTGCTGATGTTGTCTCACATGACATGCTGTTAGTGTCACACATACGACACTGACAGTGGGGCCACCAAGAAGTCACCGTCCTGAGATGTGAGGATAGACTTGTGCACACCTGTGACGCAGGCAAATGAGACCTGCTCTGAGATGGTCCCTGCGCCTCAGGCACAGTGACACCTTCCATTCCCGAAGGCCCTCTCTGCACAGCGAGAACCAGAAAGTTCTGAATCTTTATCACAATGTGCTTACTCAGGACCTTTGCACCTAACGTTCTAAAGACAACTGGAGCAGAAGGGATTCGTGTCTCTGGAATATTCTGTCAGCCCTCAAAGCTTAGGAGCATAACTTAGAGTAACCAGAATCACTGGAACAATTTTAAACATCAAGAGGCACATTTGTAAAGAGCACAACAGGAAGATATTATGGAATTAGTTCTCTAGGTAGAAGTGGAGAAATTGAAGAAAAACTGAATAGATTGTTAGACTAAGAAATAAGAACAGAGCAGATAAATAACATTCTTATACATTCAGAACCAAATTTTGTATATTTAGGGAGTTAAAGAGGCTTCTGCGTGAGCTGGTCTGTTTTTGTAGCTACAGGTCAGGTCTCTGTCACCCTTTGTTAACTGGCACATCTGGGACATCGTCATGTGTGGGTTTCATAGTCATGTGTTGGGGATGCGTTATCATTAGCCACATATTCATGGAACTAATTACCATTTCCAGAATCTTTTAGAATTTGTTGATGTGAACGCTGCTCTCTGTGTGTGCTGTTTGCATCAACAAGCGAAGTCTCTTCAGGTCCTGTGAGAGGACAGAAGCCAGAGGCCGCCTCACGCCCAGGCCTGAGGGGCCTGGAGCCTGATCTAGACTCGGGTTCTCTAGGGAGTTTATTCAGAGGGCTCGAATGGCCACCGCTGTGATAAATTACCTAGTTTATTTATGGATAATCATCCAAAATATCAGAATTCTTTTATAACCTCTCTATTGATGCTTTTAAACATTTATAGTCTTAAAATATCAAGTACATGTTGAGGATGGTGATGATGGCTTGGGGCTGGGGGCTCCCTGCCTCCCCTCACCCTACCCCAGCTGGGGAGTCCTTGCAGCTAGAGCTTCATCATCACAAGCTGGGCAGCGAGCTTTTCCTGCAAGGGCCCCGGAGGTAAGGACTTCAGGCCTCGTGGGCCTTACGCTCTCTGTTTCAACTAGAAAGAAAAAGGATTTTGCCGTAGAAATGCCAGGCAGAAAGGAGCCTCCTCTGTCAAGTACACGTTTCTTGCGGCTCGTTGGGTCAGTCGGTAGGAAAGAAGCCCCAGCTTGAGGGAGGGACATCTCACCAGCTGGCGTGACTGGGAGTGTTTGTTAGGTCCCAATGCCGTCCTCTAATCCTGTGTTATCAGGTTTATTCAGCGGTACATAAAGCCCCTTAGCTTTGCTGTGGGCAAACCCTCACTTTGGGTCCTGACCGCCCCTCTCCCCAGCCCGCCCCCTTCTGCTAGCCCCACACCGGGTCCCCTCCCCCCGCAGGTGGCCCTTTCCTGCCCTCTCTCTACGTTCTTGCCCATTTCATCCACTCCCACAGTTTGTAAGGCCACCTGCTCCTCCCTGACTCACACGTGTGCATGTCCCATCATGAAGTCCTTCAGCAGCCCACTTTCCAGAATGCCCCTGGCCCCACCCTGGACCCCATTGTCCTGCTGGTGTTATTAGGGCCCAGATCTGACCCTGTCTCTTTCCCCCAAAAATGCTTTGGAGATTTTTACCTGTCAAAATGGACGTTGTTTGTTTAGACTTTATACTTAGAATCAAAGTAATGATTTGGGGACCCACGAGTATCTAAGCCCTTCATCCTCTGTACACCCCATTGTGCAGGGGTGCCTTGCTGACTTCACCCATACCTGGGTGTACGTGAGAGAACCCACCTCTTGTTTACTTCTACGACTTTTTCCAGTGTTTAAATGCGTTTACCTCAGAGTCGTAATGGCCACCACCATTATGTACGTGAGTCACAGATTCTTTCTTGGAGCTTTTGAGAGGAAGGGTCCCCACGCAAGGGGAGAAATGACCCGGGCCTGATGCAGGATGGCAGTAATCACGTCAGTGTGGCGTGTTAGGCGTGGTGTCACTTTGCTCCCTCAGCCATAGTGTGGAGTGAGGCTTAGAGAGGTGACGGGATGCCCCAGGGACCCAGCTGATGAGTCAGACTCCCACTGGCTGGGTAGCGCAGCCTGGGTGACACTGTGGTCTCGCTGTCTGCTCGGCATCTTTGTTTTATTGCTTGTTACAAACGGAAAGAGAGCTCTTTCCAGCAAAGCACAGTGACACTGCATAAACACTGAAGATTTCAGCGTCCCCATTCCAACCCCTCTGTGGGCTGTGTGACAGTTGGAGCTTCCCTCATGAGTTTGCATTTGTGGATATAAACCAGAAAGCCGTTTCCTGAGGTTGGAGATTCCTGTTCTCACATTAGAATATACTTCCTACAATATATCTACCAGTCGACTGTGTGACTGTCCTGCATGTGTGAAGGTAGGGGACAGGTGATTCTTGGTCTGAAAATCTGTATAACCTGAGCTTGACCCTCACTGATGGGACACCGGCTGAAAGGAGAGTGGGAACACAGAACCCTGAGCCCTTTTCTGAGCATCTTCAGGCTAGTCCCCAGGTGATTTGTCTGCCACCAAAAAGCAGCTGTGAGTGTCATAGGCTCACACACACTCACAGATACACTCACTAATTCACACTCATGCACACATGCCTACACTCAGTGCTCACACTCATGCCTACACATGGACTCACATGCTCACTGACACGTTAACACATACAGATACACTCACATGCTCACACTCATGCTCACTCATACACTGACATGCTCACGTGCTCACTGACATGCTAGCATACACGTAGCACACAATCACACACTCACAATGCTTACACATACACTTGTGCTCACTCATGCTAGCATAGGCTCATACTCTTACATCACACACATTACACAGTCACACGTTCACACATACACTCATGCTCTTACATGCTAACATGTGCTCACACATCACACACACGCTTACATGCTCATAGTCATGCTCACATAAACACCCGAGAAAAGTTAATCTGCAACAGAAGACAAGGTAAACCAAGTATGTTTTGTTCCTCAGTGGTTATTAAAGGAACAAGATAAATCCTCACGTGACGTATTGTCATTTGTCACTTTTGGTTGAGACACCAGTTGGAGCATCTCTGTGAGGTGCCTTCCATGAGCTGGACAGTGGCCTTCACTGTTGAAACCAACATGTAAGTCTCCCCTTCTGGTTGGTGGCACAGGGACGCAGCACGGCTCCTCCTCCAGCATCACTGTTCGTCACTGTTGAACTTTGTTCACCTGCACGTTTTCATCCAGGGGCCTGGTTTGCCACCAACACATGAGGGGCATGGTCATGACCTCTTAGGGAGCTGGGCCAGCTGGGCAGACTTGGTAGGCCGAGGGCCTGTGTCACAGGGACCCCTATTGCTTCCTTTCTTCGCAATGACTACGGCAGTTGAGTTAACTGTAGGAAGCCAACTCAAAGGTTGGGTTCCTTTGAACGCGTCACTCACAGTCCATTGTCAGTCAGTGAACCATGAGCACGTTGCTTTCTACATAAGAAAACCAGGTTTCCTTTTCTCTTCATTTAGAAGGAGACTGAAAATGGATCTGTCACCACTGACCCCAGGGGTTCCAATTCATGCAGTTAGAATTAAAGAATGCTACCTTTCAGTGGGTGGTAGAACCAGACATGTCTGTCTGTAACTTATCTGCTCATTCTTTGAACTGTGCCCCCAGACTTGCAGAGTAGACAGTGTGGGCCATGGGTAGATGACTTCAGCTTCTGAATAGGACATGGAGCCCACCTGAGCTAGACACCTGCACAAGCAGAGAGAGCAGGGTTACCAAAGCAGGTCAGCAGGGACCCTGAAATGATCACATCCAGAAACAGCTGTGTGACGGGGTGGCTTGTTAGAAGAGTAAGAGACTGAAGCGCTGTGTAAGGCGGGACCCCTGAAACTCACGGCGCCAAAGCAGTGTGCAGACTGTTGTGAAAGTGGCCGAATGCACTCCCCTGCCCTCTTTCCCTGTGCCCGTCTTTCATTGCACATTCTCAGGGACTCATGTCAGCAGCTGAGAGTAAAAGCCAAGCAGGGCTGGCTGAGGCAGAGTGCACCCTGTGGGGGCATGTGTGAGGGTGTCATGGTAGCTGTGAAGCGGTGCTCATAGTGGAGGTGACGCTAGGCGGGTGGCTGGAAGGGTGGTCACCATTTTTCTCTTGGTTTAAAATTACTGGGAAGTTGATTTAAGGAGCAGTGGGCTGTCTGCTCAGGACATAGCTCCACCCTGCTGAGGGGCCTAATCTTCTAAGTGCTCCTGGTGCACGTGGCCTCCTGACCTCCTGCCTGGAGCTGGTGAGCATCACAGACCTATGTACCTGCTCCTTCAGCCTGACTCCACACTTTCTTCCCCATTGATAGGTGTTTCTTGAGCATCTGTTGCACACAAGGTTCTTTTAAGGACCCCAAAGATAGGTAGCCGGTTAAACAGTTGGGGTCCTGACCATCATCAGAATAACAGGGTGCAGTGTGTCCCTGCAGTGTCTTTCTGGCTTCCTAACAGATGCAGCTGCCGGGTCGGTGGCCCCACAGTGATAGCACGTGTGAGGAGTTCAAAAGGGAGTGGGAGGGTAGGTGACATCTAAATAAGTTAGGAAAGCACTTTGAAGTCACCCGGCTGTCACTATTCCTATTTTTTAATCACCAGATGTACTAGAATCATTATTTTTCCCAGCTTCAAAGTGGAAACATGGCAACGTTCCTGCTGCCCAACATGGAGATGGACTGGCCGTCTGTCAACCCATCATGAGGCTACAGCGTCACTCACACACAGTGAATCTGAATAAAATCAAAATGCAGTGAGCTCACATTATAGCTGCTTTTGTTTTAGGTGCTGAATTGAAGAGAATGTCTTTGGTAGTGTCATCTAACTGCTCTCCTGAGTGCCTTATTGAACAGCTGTGCCCTCCCACTTAACCACTGAGTGCCGACATCGTCATTGATGAGTGCTGTGCGGAGGCTGCTGCAGGTCTTGCTGTGCACCCGCACCCGAGGCACACACATCGCACACAGACGCCCAGTGCTCACCTTCTACCAAGCAGTGTCCTGAGATCCTTACATATGTCTTCTAATGTCCCCTGCAAGAAAGTCGCCACCATCCCTATATGACAGGTGGGGACACTGAGGCACAGAGAGGTTGGGACGCTGTCCAGAGAGGGCTTGAATCTCCAGAGCCAGCTGAACCCAAGCTCTGCCTTGAAGCTTGAGCTCAGCAGCTGCAACTGTGACGGGAAAATGGCTCTTCTGTGGACGCACAACTCACAATATCTCTTTTTCCATTGGCTGCTTAAAATGTTACTTTAGTTAAATTGATGGGACCTACTATGCTATTATGTCTGAAGTTTTGCCTCACTTTGTTGCAGTTTAAATTATCTTAAGGGTCACTTTATACTGAGATTTCTGTAGTAGACTTTGATTCAGAATCACGGTCTCTCGTAGAATATGGCAGTTTCTGAAACCCTGTTGCTTCCTTCAGAATAATTCTGCCTTGAGAATCAGGGAATCTGTGATGTGCTTCGTTACAGAAAACCACTCTGCACCTCCTGACGTGACCACATACACCTCGGAGCACGCGATACAAGTAGAGAGGCCCCAAGGCTCAGCCACGTCGCGGATAGCACCAAAGTATGGCAACGCCGAGCTCATGGAGACTGGCGATGGTACGTCTCCCAGCTCCTCCCTCCCTCCTTTGTAGGAGGACTTCCACTAACTTGCCTTTCAGCCCACAACTGAATGCATTTCTAAGTAAAAAGCTCGCTGAATCTAATTTACCAAGCCCTTTATGCACGTCCCGTAGAAAGTGGCACAGTCCCGGCAAAGCACATTGTCTCCAAGTTTGCCAGGAGTTACTCCTTGTAGGAAAACAACAATGATGTTGTAGGAATTTGGTCATGGGAAGGAAATTGGATAAGATTTTGATGTTCTTGCTTATGAACAACTAATGTTGGTTCAGCAATTAACATATTAGTGTACAAGGGTCACTACTGTGAATGGTTACTTAGAAGGGCAGGGTGAAGTCAGACATGAACAAAGTAGTTGACAGATGTGGGCCAGTGTGGTGCTTTAGACTTTGGAAGAAAGAGGATCATTTCTTCTCTATATTGGAAAGAAGATTAGTGATTTGATAAAATACAGCAGTAGGGGTTCTCTTTTATTCCTCATAGCTTTAACCTTGGTGAGCTCTTGTGACAGGGGCCGTTTCTGTGATCCGACCTGCAGCGACAGGCGTGAACGTGGACCACGTGCTTTATTCTGCTTTCCCTGAGTCTCAGTCTTTCCAGGGCCATGAAAGTAAGAACAGACTCCGATGATGACATGAAATGTTATTCCCGTGGCCTCAGTGTGGCATCCTCCTCACTGTGGCATGTCCTGTGACACTGTGTGATTCCAAGGTGATTAGGAAGGCCTGGACCCAGTCTCCCACAGGCAGCAGGCATCTCCATGATGGCCAAAGCCCAGAGGCACTGGGGTTCGTGAGCCCTGTTTGTGTGTTTGAAGTCACTCCAGTTTCCAATTCGATTGGTTCTCCTGGAATGCTCTCAGTTTCAGTGTTTGCTTTACTTCTCCACTAAATTCACTGTTTATTAAGTTGATCATTGCTCTTCTTCTGGTTGTTGCTGTTTTAGTAGATTCAACAATCTACTAAATTGTGAGGTCCATCACTTTCCACCGCCCTCCTGGTGGGTTTAGACGTGTCCCTGTGACTCCATGAAGCATGTTTGTCCAGTTTTCCTCAGCGTGTGAGGACCCCAACTATCAGAATCCCCTGGGGCACTTGTCAGAAAGCAGGTTCTGGGCCATACCCTAGATCCCACCTTGGAAGCTTGGGCAGGTCCTGGATGGTCCTCCATGTTCTGAATGCAGCTGGAGAAGCAGTGGCCTTGTGAAATAACCTGGATTGGTCTGGACCGAATCAGGTCTAACTATTTACTGGGGAAACACTGTGTTCAGATACTGAGGAGTCTGTGTTGTGTGTGTTTTTATATATTTTCAAAACTACAAAATATTTCACATCTCAACTTTGAAGGTGCCCATGAAGGGTTTTGAGGAGATCTGTTAAAGTGCTTTTTATTTGATAGAAAGTTTTCCTTGAATTCTGTCGTATTCATTATAAAGGCTGAGGTCTGTTTCTATGATGCCTGCAGTGGAGGAGGTGGGCACTGCCACGGTAATTACAGGAAGACGCCCTCAGGCCATGGTTCTCAGACTGCACAGTGCCCAAACCATGGTCACAGAGTCCCTTGCAGTGGGCGCATGTGACCACCGAAGATGTCAGCATCTTGGTGCTGCTTTTTGTTCATTAATTTGATTTATGTTAAACTTTTAAAAGTCCTTGCCTTTTTCAGTGATCATTTCACTTCTTCAGTTTTCAAAATGATGTCACATTCGTTGTTATAATAAATGTATTATATAATGTGGAGTTAGTTTTCCTCAGTGCTCATGGATAAATATATGCCAGCATTCTGTGCAAGAAATTGAACTTAGAGACTTTCATTGATGCGCTTCTAAAATGCACTGCCTGAATGTTCACTCAGGAGAACGGAAGTGAGATGTTGGAGGGACCCGGTGGTCATGAGGGGTGGTGAGGGGCGGTGAGGGGCAGTGCAGTCGCTCTGAGGCACCCGGATTTGTGTCTCCTACAGAATGTTCTCTTGGCCCCAGGAGGCCGAACACCAGTGGTCTCAGGAGAGACGGCCTCTCATCAGCTCTCTGATCCCTGTTGAGAGAGGGGACCTGAGACCTTGTGAGTGAGGAGGTGACAGACTCTGTTTTAGGAATTGAAGGTGGGACCCTGCCCAGTCTTCCCAACATTATGAGAACAGGATGCCCCATAACATTGTGAAGCAGAATCGTGTCTGCTGTGTCTTTGCCTCTCGCAGCTTCCCAGCAGAGTCACGTAGCAGAATGTCCTCACTCTGCACATCGTCCTAGGTGGTGCTTTGAGGGACATCGGTCTCAAGGCCATCCCTGCGATGGGGCTGCGGGCACATGGCAGCCACTGCACTGTGGTGCTTGTTCAGTGTGGTAAAGTCAGTCCTTCTGCCTGGGGTTCTGTTTCAGGAGTGCCAGTAAGTAGCCGGGTATCAGCAAAAATTCAGCAGCTTGTCAACACCCTCAAACGACCGAAACGACCGCCTTTACGGGAATTCTTCGTTGACGACTTTGAAGAGTTGTTAGAAGGTAAGAGGACCCTTTCCCGCCCCATTTGATTTTGATGGCCCCCTGATTCCATACACTATGATATTTTTCCAGCAAGGATATTTTACTTTTTAAGGACAATAACCTTGGCATTCACTATATGGCAGGACTCTTTCTGGAGACTGGAGTTTCCATGAAGGTGTGCAAGTACCGTCCCCTGAGCCAGGCCTCTTTCTAAGGATACTCTCAGGTTTCAGACATGCAAGTAAATCATGGAAAACCTTGCCAACAGTGATGCAGTCCCCTGACAATAAGCCTAGGAGGCATTCAGAGAGCAAGCAGCTTCTCCCCACCCCCACTTTACGAATCCAGGAGCTTGCTGATGTCTGAGCCTGCGAGTGCTCATGAGCCTCTTAACACAAACCCCAAAAGTGGAAGCAAAGCATGCTTATCACATCCAACGCAAGCCCCTAGTTCTGTTCTTTACACCACAGGAAGACCCAGCTGATTCTCTCTAGCATGTGGAAGCTGCCCGTCACAAACTGAGAGAAACCTCTTCTAGGAGCAAAAAGAAAAGTCTTAGTTCCTCATCTCTCTAAAGTCTTGGACAAATTGTATTTCATTTTGAAGTATTTATTTTTGTTTTACTCAAGGAAATATCTGTGCTTGTTATTCAAAGTAGTTCTAGTAAATTTAAATTTATATCTCAGTATTTAATGGCAGAATATAATTTAGTTAGATTTGAGCTCTTTGGAGTACAGAATTACTCATATATGAGGTGCGATCACAAAATACGGTGAATGCTGCTGCCGAGTGCCATCCAACAGAAAGGCAGGGATCTTCAATACAGGAAGCGGCACATCGAACCTTAGTAACAGTGTGTGACAACTTTCAATTTGTTCAGTGCAATCAGTCAGATGTGAGCTACAGTTGAGAGCAGGTGTGTTTTAAAGTGTGCCATAAATCATCCTCCATCATGACAACGCTTCATGTCACCCATCACTTCTGGTATACAGCAATTTCTGTCAAATAAAAACATTATGGTGTGTCCTCACCCACCTTATTCATCGGATATGGCACCATGTGACTTCTGGCTCTTCCCCAAAGTCAAAATGATTCAGGACATCGAGGCAGCCACAATAGTGCAACTGAAGACATGAAAGAGGACTTCCAGAACTGCCTCAGAAAGTGGCAAGAGCAATGGGATAAGTGTGTTGAAAGCAAGGGGGGTATTTTGAGGGGGATTAATGGCAATGTTCTTTTACTGTAATGATTTTTTTAATTTAAAAATTCACCGTATTGTTTAATCATACCTCATATGTTGATAGTTGACATTTTAAACCTAAGCGTTACAATCTTGTACTCGAGGCATGTTCAAATACATAGCTTTACTTGCTGTCAGTTCACAGAGGTGCTCAGGTCTTCCTAGGTACCTCACCTGACATCACTGGAGAAATTGTAAGAATTAAGTGCTTCCGTTCCATTCCATGATTCTAGAAAAGCACATGTGCGTGTTTTCCATGCTCTAATACGTTTAGGCCTTGAGTATGTATGTCCTAGCTTCTTCAAAGGGATAAAAACGTGATCATGCTGACATGGGTGTAATTTTTTTTAAAACCTCTTGTGTTCACGTGTATTTAGTTCAACAACCAGATCCGAACCAGCCAAAGCCAGAAGGAGCACAAATGTTGGCCATGCGTGGAGAACAGCTTGGTGTGGTTACGAATTGGCCCCCATCTTTAGAGGCCGCGTTACAGCGATGGGGGACTATCTCGCCAAAGGCCCCGTGCTTGACCACGATGGACACGAATGGGAAGCCCCTGTACATCCTCACTTATGGTAATCCCATGATGCTCAGCTGCCTTTGCTTGCTTCTGCACACACCTGCCACTCCAGGTGGCTTATTGCACATACCTGCCACTCCCTGGTGATTAACTGCACACACCTGCCGCTCCAGGTGGCTTACTGCACACACC